CAAAACAGCTTGAAGGTAACACCGTTTCGACAAAACCTTCCTCGAATCAAACTCCTTATTGCCCCTCTTGGCGTGGAAAAGCAGCCTCTCCACCCCGCGGAAACCTTTGGCCGACAACTCATCAATAATACATGCGATTGGTATTTTTGCATCTGACAGTGGCTTTGTCCAAGCCAACTTCGAAGGCTCGATCAAACGTAAGCAACCGTCAACTGTATATTGATCTGCCTTCCACTGCATGAAATGTCGCCTGTCTGACAAGTCATTACCAAAAAAACAAAAAGGCTGCAATGCATCGAGTCCTCCACGCGGAAAACATCGATCGAAATTGGGACTTCGTGCCGTGGCAGATCAGCCTCACGGAGAATTGCCATTGGCGCTATCATCCAAGTGACAGTGTCGACCTTTCGCGTTGCAATGGTCTTGACGAGAATATCTCTGGTTTGCACTGCCAACACTTGGAAACAATACCATGCCTCATCAGCGCTAGATTTGTTCGGGACCGTGATGTAACTGCACGGGGTGACGGCTGATTGAACGAACTCTGCCATGAGCTTTCGGTCCCGAAGAGTTGCAACATCAACGAATTCATCTCCATCTAAAGTCATGGATCCAGTCGGAGGCGGAGGAGGTCGCCTGCCGACGTCGCCGTCCGCGTCGGGGTCGTCGTAAACGTTGGGATCGTCAGCAACGGCAGCATCGGTTCCCTGATTGGCAAACGCAGGATGCAAGTTCACGCTGTAGATTCTATCCACAACTGCCCTGACTTTTTGTTTGACTCGACGGTCTGGCCTCCTAAAGTTAATGGCTGATGACCAGTTGTTCCAGCATCTCTGCAAATTGATTCCTGTCTGCTCTGCCATCTGATTCACCATATCCAGGTTTTGCCCCAAGCGAAGGGGCGACGCGACCCAGGGCCACCTGGAGCAACGAAATCCTTCCAACACTCGTTTGGCAACTGCATGGGGGAACTCCGACACGTGATCATCGAATGGGATATCTGCAATCGCCTCTATTTCCAAACGCAGAGCATCAGGCAAAGGACCTCCAGCATTCGGCAGCGCTAGCACTGCATCTCGAAGTGGCGAGTCGGGGCCCAGGAACTTCAAGGTTAGAGGGTGGTGAAGTGCACGATCTGTCGATTCAAACTGTCTCAGCGCCAACTCCTTGACCCCAGGCTCCCCAAGGCGAGAAAACAAATATGGCACCGTATTCATGTAATCGAGCTTCCTGAGCCCGAGTGCGCAGACCATGCGAACAGATCCCGTGCACTGCTGAAGCAAAGACTGATCACCCCCGAAGGTGGACGTTGTCCAAGCCTCAGCCTCCTTCAATGCCTCCTGGGACGTGCTGCTACTATCGCGACTGCTCGCGCATGCCGAAAACAGCGCATGGAGGGAGTGGGGGGGGCGCTTGATTTGAAAAACCTTACCCCTCGGAGTTCTGCTCAACCTGATTTGAAACAACATCCTGGAAAACTTCGAGATTGCATACCTACTCCGAGGTTCCCTTGGCGACGGCCCCCCCGTTAAAGATGTTTGAAACGCTGTTTTCGATCACGCTGACACTGGTCGATTGACACATCCACGACGTCAACGACATTAGATGCCCTTGCCCCCTCCCCCAGGCGAAGATGAGAACGGGCACTGCGTGGGATACAAAGCGGGGAAAGATGAATCAGAGAACGAGGACAGAGGATGATGAGAAGCAAAAGCGGGAAAACGGGGGGGAGAAGACAAAGGCGAAGGAGATCGCATACGTCGTGGCAGCGGCAGCACGAGCGGTCCTGGAACGAAGATTGCGCCTTACCGTAGGCGTAAGGAAGAAGTCTGCCCTTTCTCTTGCAGTCGACTGGGTTCCCAAGCTCGCAATCGGCCTGGTGACAAATGCAGCTCCCGCCCCACGACTGCAAATGAGTCAACCACTCCACGAGCCACGCAGTGAACGAAAAGAGATCCACCCATCGTTGGTCATCCATCGCCCGTCGAACCCTCCTGATCAACGAAGTGTCCCTGACTTTCTTGAGGAATGACATGTGTCCCCAATGTCTCTGCAATATGCCGATGACTCCCTTGAGAGATCCGCGCACTTCGTGGAGCGCGCCCCACCGCCACTGCGCGAAGTATGGCAACGATAACGCGTCCACGATCTCAGCGACCGCTGACAAACCGGCCTCCCTGAAGTTCCTGGCGATCTCAACGCTGTATTGCCGCAAGAAAGTGAGTGCGCTTTTGATGCCGTCCAACCATCGCGGGAACCAGTCCATGCTACACAAAGCCCTCCTAATGAGCGTGTCGAGGATGTGCATCCAACCTGGCGCTTGCACTGCATATGGGAACACACGTGTCTGCGTTGGCATGCCTCGCGGTACTGCTACGCCTACGTGCTTGCAGAATGCTGGCAAGATGTATTTCGCATTGCCGAACAACCTCTCAGTGCCCATATCCGATGTCACCGATACGACCCGTGCCAACATCTGCCTGAGCGATACAAATGACGGACCCACACACAGCACAAACTTCCATAGCAGCGCATGCAGCTTTCCATACAGGCTGAGGTGCTGACCACCAATGCGGATGACTGGCAAGAGGTACCGAAGACAAATCCATTCGCCCGAAATTCTACCAACACAGTCAACGGTGGTGGCGAAAAGCTCTACTCCCCTCCATTGGGGTGATCCGTCAGTATAAAAATAAAAATGCGCCAGCCCCATATTGGTTTGAAACCACCGTCGCAACAACAACATACAGACAACATCGAGTCTCCAGCGTCCACGCCTCAAAACGTCATAACTGATGCACACGCTTCGCCTGACCAACTCGTCGCCCGCGGACTGGTCGTGCCGAGCAAGAACTTTAGCCCAGGCCCGTTTGCATCTGTCAGCCAGTCGCAGACCTTTCAAGTATCGCGTCGCATCGAGGTAATCAATAATGACTTCCACTGGGAATGATTCCAATCCAGGTCGAGCACCCCTCGGGCCGACAACATGTTCTTGCTCACTATCTCCAGTCGTTATGCGCACAACAGCAGAAGAGAAATCACGCATTGCACCCATGTGTTGTTTGACGGTTGACATCGCAGGGCCCATCAATAATATATGATGTTTGATGCTTAGCCCAGGTGCGAGCGGAATTAATTTCAAGTAGGGCCAGCCAGGCACGATCAATTTTGCAAAGTCTGTTCCAACGTATACTGTCTGGCATGTCCATACAGACGGACGATAAGCAACAAAATCAGACCACATGCTCAATACGTCTCTGAAGCAAGCTGTTTTACCATCAATTGGATTGTGAACCAACTTGTAGCACACAAAACTAAACAGATCAATGCAGCCGTGGGGCACACGCAATTCATGTACAAGCGAAGCCACATCCGTCAACTGATAACCCACAGCCCCAACACATTCGTTTCGCGATGGCCGCTGAAAAGAAGCGGCGATGAAATCTTTGAATCTAGCGTTGCCGTTGAGCTTGCCAATGGTGTCTGCAACATCGCTGGCCGACAGAATTTCCCACACACCTATTCCAACAGAAGTCAAGACCAGATCATCGCATTGGCACTGCAAACGCTCAACAGCCGTGAAGCCTGCCACAGCCGCAGTCGCACATATCATATACAACGTGATCATGCCGACATTTTCCAACTCACCTCGTGGGCGGCCAGACCGTGAGGAATTTCGCCTAGCATTCTCGGGATCCCCATCGATTGAATCACTGTCGGCCGCAATGGGCGCTTGTGGCGGTTCCTCATGCACAGAATCGACGTCCATGCTGAAACCAAAATGGCTATGGAAACGGAAGAAAACGTTGGAGGTGCAGACACGGAAGGCCCCCAATATATATTCGCAATGCATTGCAATCAATGCGAGGACCTTCAAACGACGCCTCTCTTGCGTATCTCACACGTGCAACGCAACTCCTGCAAATGTTATTGATGCGTGGTTTTGTTTGGGGGGACGTGAACGAAGGCGACGTCATAATGAGTGTGTGCATTGCTGTTGCAGATGATGTTCTGCTACTATTACATTATGTTGCCATATCAATGTTGATGCGTTGTGGCTCTATTACAAAAAATCAAACGCCATTTGGCGGTGAGTGTGTGTGTGTCCCCGAGTAGCAGGGGAAACCGTCGGTTGGAGTTTCGCCTAACAGTGTCGGTAAGTAAGGCCCTACCAATACACACATGTTGGTATACACCTGTTGGTATGTGCGCGCTGGTATACAAATGTCGATCTACAAATATATCTCGATAAACACATATATACACTTGATGGTATCACAACGGCACACATCTGTACATACGTGTACACATGTATACGCACATACATACATACACACATCCATACATCCATACATACATACATGCATACATACATGCATCCATACATGCGTACATACATGTATACATACACACATACATGCAACAACATACATGCATGTAGGCATGCATACATACGCACCGGCCTACCCGCCGACCTACCTACCTACCTACATGCATGCATGCATGCATGCATACATACGTACATGCACACACATGCAAACATACCGACATACACACACACACGCATGTACACATACATACATACATACATCCACACATACATACATACATGCATGCATGCATGCATGCATACATACATACATGCACACGTACATACATACATACATATACATACATGTATACATACATGTATACATACATGTATACATACATACAACAATACATACATATACATATACATACATACATACATACATACATACATACATACATGCATACATACATACATACATACATGCATGCATGCATATATACATACATACATACACACATACATACATACATCGATACATACACACATCCATACATTCATGCATACATACGTACACATGTATGTATTTATATGTATGTGTGTGTTCATGCGTGTATGTGTACATGTATGTCGGTCGTGCGACCTGTCGGTGTCACTGACTATCTAGCGATCTTAAAACATGATTGCAGCCGATCTCACTATCTACCCATCGCGACAACCAGCGGGACAACAATTGGAACAACCATCGAGACAACCATCTGGACAACCATCGGGACAACCCTCTAGACAACCATCGAGACATCCGTCGGAATCTCAATGTTTGTTCCGCGATCTGGTGCGCCTGGAAAGTTTATACCCCTACGCTGGCGCGTCGGGGCGATGAGCAACGAACGAACAGTGGGCTTGCCTCATCGCGCGCGCATGTCATGAGAGCGCTGCTCGCTGTTCATTACAATCCCGATGATGTACAACAGGGACTCGGAGTCCATACCAGTATTTCGATACATCGATATCTGCTTCATCAAAGCGTCCACGTTAAACCCCTGCTTGTCTTGGAACATCTGTTTTACCAGGTACTCGAACTCATGCATGTCGTAGGGGTCGATACGCTCCTTCCTCTTCCTGGTTGTCATGTCTTTGAATATCGCGGTCAGCGTCGAACCCACAGCTGTGGTCACAAGGCTCTGCCGCAAACGTATGTCCTCGCGCGCGGCCGTGATGTTGTCCCCGAACTTCGAGCGCAGTTGTGCCAGGCCGACCTGGAGCGTCTGCAGCCTGCTCACCTCTTCACCAACAACTTCGACGCTCTTCTTCAGCTTCGAGTTCGTCTCGTGGAGTTTGTAAACCTCACGGCGCAACTGCATCAAATTGTCGAGCTGCCCGGTGAAGACGTTGAGCCCGAGGGAGAGCAGGAGCGCCAGGCCGGAGCAGATGGCACACGGGACGTTCGCGCCGTCGAGAGCAACGGCAAGGATGAGTCCCGACAGCACGGCCGTGAGCATGAACACCCACCGGAGGAAACAGCGCATGTGCGACGGGCGCTTGGCACCGCCAGCGCCCTTGTCCTCCGGGGCGGCAGCCGACTTCGAGAGGCTCCCCGAGCTCGGCGCGGCGCCGTACTCCTCGTACTCCTCCTCCAGCTGCGCGGGCGCGTCCCTCCACGACGCCTCCGGAGGGCTGCCGGCCCGCGCCGGGGGCGCCTGGTCGCCCGAGATCAGCTTCTCGAGCTCGGCCCTGCAGGCGACTGGGTCCCCTTTGATCAAGGCGTCCAGGATGAGAGTCAGCTCGAAGAGGGTGAGTCCGTTGTTGCGCACATGCTTGGCGAAGTCGTCCTGGATACTTTTGTCTGGGACCATTTCCCAGAGCAGGCCAAACTTTGACATGAACAACTCGGACTCTGAGCCCGAGATGTGACCAGACTGGTCCAAATCCGAATGGAAGAAATCCTGCACGAAAGTGCATACCGTTTCGAGCGCGAACATAGTGTGCAAGATCTTCAACATGTCCTCGAGCCCATGCATGTCTTCTCCTGCCAGCTTCTGTTTGAGATCTTCGATATCGCTCGTAACCTTTTCCAGGTCCTTGCTCTTGCCCTTGAGCTCTTTCTCTGTGTCGGAGAACTGTTTGTTCTCGAGTCCCAGACTGTCAACCCTTCCCTTCAGAGCTCTGGTGAGGAAGGGATCGTCGCCAACGAACACGATGCAGAACAGAGACAAGGTCATCAAGAACGCCGCCGCCGACAATCCCCACACGTCCCCCGACACAAACCCCAGCATGAAGCAGAATAGGCCAGTACACACCATCGCAAGGAGTACAAGGTGCACCATGCTGAGCTGCCCCGAACCCTTGTCGTCCCAGCCCAGCGTGACGGCCTTGTCGTCCATGCCGAGGAGCCCGGCCAGGCACACGACGGCCCAGAGGACGGCGCAGCACTCCACGACGAGGGCGCAGGGGTTCCAGGGGTCGGTGGCGTCGCACACCGTGTTGCTGAAGCTCGGGCCCTCCTCCGGGCCCAGCGCGGCCTGCAGCAGGGGCACGCCCCGCCAGGCGAGGCCGCCGGAGAGGCCCGCGGCGCCCGGCGGCGCGAGGAGCCCGAGGGCGCCGGCGCGCCCCTCGAGCACGCCCTGCGCGGCCGCCAGCGAGCCCCTGCGCGCCGACAGCCGCGACAGGCGCAGCTGCAGCCGCTCGAGGCCGCCCTGCTGCGCCTCCAGCGCCGCCAGCCGGGCGGAGGCGCTCAGGCGGCCGGAGGCGCTCAGGCGGCCGGGGGCCGCCGCCGGCCGGGGGCCCCCGCCCGCGGGGAGCGCGCGCCCGGCCGCGCCGCGCGCGCGCAGCAGCAGCAGCAGCAGCGCGGCGAGCCAGCGCCGCATCGGGGGCACGGAGCGGGCGGCGCCGTGGCTGCGCCCGGCGGCAGCGCACCGCCGACGCTACATTCGGAGGGCGCGGGCCGCGGCGGCGCGCCGCGGAGAGGAGCGGCGGCTGGAGCCGAGATGGCCACGGAGAGCCGTCGGGACAACGGTTGGGACAAGCCATTGGGACCACCACGGGACAGGAGACGTCGGGCGGGTCAGCCATCGAGACGTCGGGACAACCGGCGGGACACGCGGGAGCCACTGGGGGTCACGAGCTGGGGACGGGGAGACTCATTTTGTTGGCCTGGCCAGTGCAGGAGCAGGCGCGGCTTCGCCTCGCCTCGCCTCGCCTCGCGCGTCACGCGCGAAACGGAACGGTCCCCCCGTTGGGACACCTCACGTCGCACTTCGGCTTCCACCCCCCAACCTCTGGGACGCACAGGGACATACTAGTACTATATGTCCTCCTTGGAGGCGCGCGTCCGACCAGAACATATAGTGTACCCATCTTGCAGTATATCGTTTCCCGAGCGGTGTGGCCAGAAAGCGCCCGCCACGACGCACATACTATGAGATTTCTCGGTGCGGGCGTCGCGGGGGCGACGCACACATAGTACCAGTATGTTGGGGTGACGCCGAACCTCCCATGAAGCGGACACGGATCAACCACATTACTGACAATAGCCCGTACTGTGCACATTGGACTTCACGATCCCAGGATCACCCAATACTCAAGGGCCCCTTCAACAAACATATCCCAAGCCTCTCCTGAGGCCTTCCAAGAACCAAGGACACCCTTCCAGGAGTATCCCCCCCTCCTCCTCCGCCAAGAGCCCCACCTAAACCTCAAAGACCGGTGTGGTCACGGAGCCGCCTGGGGGCCCCCATAACCGCCCCCTTTGTCTGACATGTGCAGCAGGTGCAGGAGCGCCCAGAATCGAATCGCCAAAGTCGGATCGGCGATCGAAATCCAACATAATCCTTTTACTTGGGTTTTTTTTTACTTCTGCTCTGAGGAACTGGGCCTGACTGCCGCTCTGGCGGCTATGTTGTCGCCGTGGCCGCCCCGTCGCCGCCTCGTGGCCGCCCGTCGTCTGGGCCTGTCTGCCGCTCTGGCGGCTATGCTGTCGCCGTCGCCGCCCCGTCGCCGCCTCGCCGCCGCCCGTCGGCTGGGCCTGTCTGCTGCTCTGGCGGCTATGCTGTCGCAGTCGCCGCTCCGTCGCCGACTCGCCGCCGCCACATAGATTCTTCTTTCTAAAAAGAAAGTAGACTCTACCCCCCCCCCGTATCTCCCCCCCTTCGGGTATGTAAATCATATATGATTCTGGCCACATGTCCATCCAACATATGAGTTTACACTATCCCAGGGGGGCCCGTATCGCTCACCCTGAGGTTCCCTTGTGAAAAAAAAAAAAAACAATACGCGGGGACAGTTGTTGTTCTAACAAACCCCTGTTTCACGAATCCCTTGCAAAAAACGGGACGAAGTGAACACGCGCGCGTCGTCGCGCGCGCATGCCGAAATCCTTCAAAAACCTTCGGTGTCGGACGGATTTCGCAATCGAGTTCCCCAAACACCTACAAAAGCATAGGGTTTCGCAACACTGATTTGCTAAACAAGCTTACGCGCGAGCTCTTGCGAAATCTGAAAAAAAACTAAGTTTTTCAAGATTTTCACAAAATGCTACCAAACGGGCTTCGCGCGCGCATGTCGAAATCTGTCGAACGCCCTTGCGCGTGTACCGTCGCGAGAATCCTCTGCAACAAACGGGACGAAGTGCAGACGCGCGCGTCAGAGCGCGCGTATGCCGAAATCCTTCAAAACCAATCGGTTTCGGAAGGATTTCAAAATCGTGTGTCCAAGAAACCTACAGAAACCAAGGTTTCGCAACACGGATTTTCAACAAAAGCGTGCGCGCGCTCTTGCGTCGTCGTCGTCGTCGTCGTCGCCGTCCTCCCTCCTCCCGCGTCGTCGTCGTCGCCTACGTCATCCTCTGTCTTTCCTCGTGTTCGTCGTCGTCGTCCTCTTTGGCGTCGTGGTCGTTTCCGTCGTCGTTGTCGCCGTGGTCGTCCTTCCTCCTCCTCCCTCGTCGTCGTCGTCGTCGTCGTCGTCGTCGCGTCTCGTCGTCGTCCCTCCTATTTCGTCGCCGTCGTCGTCGTCGTCGTTGTTGTCGTCGTCGTCTTCCCTCCTCCCTCGTCGTTGTCGTTTTCGGCGTCGCCGTCCTTCCTCCTTCTTCGTCGTTCGCGTCGTCGCCGTCCTCCCTCCTCCCTCGTCGTTGTCGTCGTTGTCGTCGTTGTCATCGTTGTCGCCGTCGTCGTCCTCCCTCCTCCCTCGTCGTCGTCTTCGTTGGCGACGTCGTCGTCGTCTTCGTCGTCGTCGTCGGCGTCGGCGTCGTCGTCTTCGTCGTCGTCGACGTCGGCGTCGTCGTCGTCGCCGCCGTCGTCGTCGTCGTCGTCGTCGTCGTCGTCGTCGTCGGCGTCGTTGACGTCGTCGTCGTCGTCGTCGTCGTCGTCGTCGTCGTCGGTGTCGTCGTTGTCGTCGTCGTCGGCGTCATCGTCGTTGTCATCGTCGTCGTTGTCGCTGTCGTCGTCGGCGTCGCTGTCGTTGCCAAGTGCCATTTGGTACCCACCGTCACGGTCTTAAGAGATTTTGGAAACCAAGTTGCGGGTGGGTGGGATGTTTGCGCGAGCAGTGGAGTGGACAACTCACTGCGAACAGAAATTAGTTGCACCACATAGATTGCACAAACCTTCAAAACCCATCGGTTTCGGAAGGATTTAAACATCGCGTGTCCAAAAAACCTGCCGAAGCACACGGCTTCGCAACACGGATTCTCAACAAAAGCGTGCGCGCGCGCTCTTGCGTCGTCGTCGTCGTCGTCGCCGTCCTCCCTCCTCCCGCGTCGTCGTCGTCGTCGTCGGCGTCGCCTACGTCGTCCTCTGTCTTTCCTCGTGTTCGTCGTCGTCGTCCTCTTTGGCGTCGTGGTCGTTTCCGTCGTCGTTGTCGCCGGGGTCCTTCCTCCTCCTCCCTCGTCGTCGTCGTCGTCGTCGTTGTCGTCGTCGTCTTCCCTCCTCCCTCGTCGTTGTCGTCTTCGGCGTCGCCGTCCTTCCTCCTTCTTCGTCGTTCGCGTCGTCGCCGTCCTCCCTCCTCCCTCGTCGCTGTCGTCGTTGTCGTCGTTGTCGCCGTCGTCGTTCTTCCTCCTCCCTCGTCGTCGTCGTCTTCGTTGGCGTCGTCGTCGTCGTCTTCGTCGTCGGCGTCGTTGTCGTCGTCGAAGTCGTCGGGGACGTCGTCGGTGTCGTCGTAGTCGTTTGCGTCAGTGTCGTCGGAGTCGGTCTTAAAAGGTTTTGCAAGCCAAGTTGCGGGTGGGTGGGTGGGATGTTTGCAAGAGCGTGGGATGTGTCAAATCATGGGTGAAAATCAATTCTCCTTTCTAACAAAAAAATAAACTCTACCCCCCCCCCGGACTTATCGCTCCCCCCTGGGATAATATAATTTCATATATATATATATATATATATATATATATATATTCTGCACACTCGTCCATCCTAAATATGAAATCATACCATGCCAGGCAGGCCGGGCTCCCCCCCCTGAGGTCCCCTTGTAAAAAACACTATGCGGTGACATTTTGTGTTCTAGCATACAGTAGCACGTTTTCGCGAATCCCTTGCAAAAAACAGGACGAAGTGCACACGCGCGCGCCGTCGCGCGCGCATGCCGAAATCCTTCAAAAACCTTCGGTGCCGGAAGGATTTCGCAATCGAGCTTCCAAAAAAATATGCAAAAACAGATGGTTTCGCAACACCGATTTGCTAAAAAAGCTTCCGCGCGAGCTCTTGCGAAATCTTAAGAAAACCATCGGTCTTTCAAGATTTTCACAACATGCTACCAAACGGGCTTCGCGCGCGCATGTCGAAATCTGTCGAACGCCCTTGCGCGTGTGCCGTCGCGAGAATCCTCTGCAAAAAATGGGACGAAGTGCAGACGCGCGCGTCGTCGCGGGCGTATGCCAAAAACCTTCAAAACTCATTGGTTTCGGAAGGATTTCAAAATCGTGCGTCCAAAAAACATACAAAAACCCAATGTTTCGCAACACGGATTTTCAACAAAAGCGTGCGCGCGCGCTCTTGCGTCGTCGTCGTCGTCGTCGTCGTCGCCGTCCTCCCTCCTCCCGCGTCGTCGTCGCCGTCGCCTACGTCGTCCTCTGTCTTTTCTCGTGTTCGTCGTCGTCGTCCTCTTTGGCGTCGTGGTCGTTTCCGTCGTCGTTGTCGCCGTGGTCGTCCTTCCTCCTGCTCCCACGTCGTCGTCGTCGTCCGTCGTCGTCCCTCCTATTTCGTCGCCGTCGTCGTCGTCGATGTCGTCGTCGTCTTCCCTCCTCCCTCGTCCTTGTCGTCGTCGGCGTCGCCGTCCTTCCTCCTTCGTCGTCGTTCGCGTCGTTGCCGTCCTCCCTCCTCCCTCGTCGTTGTCGTCGTTGTCGTCGTTGTCGCCGTCGTCGTCCTTCCTCCTTCCTCGTCGTCGCCTTCGTTGGCGTCGTCGTCGTCTTCGTCGTCGTCGTCGGCGTCGCTGTCGTCGTCGAAGTCGTCGGAGACGTCGTCGGTGTCGTCCTAGTCGTTGTCGTCGGTGTCGTCGTAGTCGGTCTTAACAGTTTTTGCAAACCAAGTTGCGGGTGGGTGGGTGGGATGTTTGCGCGAGCAGTGGAGTTGACGACTTCAAGTTCAGCAGAGTGGGTTGCACCACATAGATTGCACCACATATATTTCACCACATGGATTGCACAACACATATGGTAACACATAGATTGCACAACTTACATTGAACCACAGTTATTGCATCACATAGGTTGCAAACCATATATGTCGCATCATATACTGCAACATCTAGACTGCACAACATATAGTGCACCACCGAGGTTGTTCAACATATATTACGCAACATATACTGCACCAGTAATATTGCACCACCTGTATTGCATCACATATATCGCTCTACATGTATTGCACACCATAGGCTGCTCAACATGTGTTACGACACGTATATTGCACACCATAGATGGCATCACCTAGTTTGTTACACATCGATTGCACAACAGCAACTGCCCCACATAGACTGCACGGGTTGAAACAGATGTTTTGCACCACAGCGATTGCTTCACATACATGGCACAGCATCTATTGCACCACAAATGCTGCACTACGTCGATTGTACCACATAGATGGCACACCATATATGTCACCACGTTGGCTGCTCCACCTGGATTTAACGCCGTATATTGCACCACACAGATGGCAAAACCTCGATTGAACCACATAGGCTGCATACAAAGATAGCACACACACACACATGCGCAACACATGTTGAGCCACACAGATTGCACTACCTTTTGCTCCACATAGGTTGCACACCATCTATTGCACCACGCAAGCTGTACGCACCGCATGACTAGCACCACATAGATGGCTGCACACCGAATTCTATACATACACTGTAAAGCGTCCACGGCGACTAACATGTCTTCTCGTTCCCGATACGTTCGTAGGTCTCACAACGCAACCTGCCTGCCGTGCGCATTCCAGGGTGCCTTTTGGATCCCAACCCTCCCTCAGTTGGGCCCCACCTCCTCCTTCCTTCCTCCCGCCTCCCTCCTCCCTCCTCCCCGCCTCCTCCCCTCCCCTCAGCCCCGCCCTCCTTCCAGGTTAGTCGCCCTTTCCCTCGTCGAGACCTCGCGGCTCCCTGGAAAGTTGCGAACCGCGCAACTGTCGCCATTTTCGTGGGCTCCTGGGAGGTCCAACGAACTGGAGATCCACGCGGATCTTCCGCGACCTCGCGGCTCCCTGCGAGGCTGCGAACCGCGCAACTGTCGTCATTTTCGTGGGCTCCTGGGATGTCCAGCTATGTGCACTGGGGGCCTTCAACGTGTTTGGTTGTATTGAGCGGTCCCAGATCTATTCGCCAAATGTGAAGAAAAGGTTGGGTACGTCATCGGATAATGTTTAAACGTTCTGGCTTAGCCAAAAGCGAAGGAGTGGGAAACGGAACAAAAACACGCTTCCAGTGCTTTTAGGAACCACTACAGTATAGAGGTCCCCCTGAATATGGTCCGGGTATATGGGTTTCGGAGTATCGCACCGCATCGCCGCTGCATTACCGATGCATCGGCGTCGTCGGCGGTGCATCGGGGCCGTCGGCGTGGAGAAATAGCGGGCTCCGCATCGAACAACGTCGCCGATGCATCGGCGATGCGGCGCGATCCTCCTGCCCCGTCGATTGCCACTCCCGTTGGGAGGCCTCGAGGTTTGGCTGCTGTAGCTGGCATATCCGCCGCGGGGGGGTCCTCGCACAGCCCGCCGTGGCGGCACGGCAGCAGGATGAGCTCCGCGGGCTGCTCGTAGCAGATCCTGCGGAGGACAGGTGAGAACAAAGGAGGAGGAGGAGGAGGAGGAGGAGGAGGAAGACGAGGAAGACGAGGACAAAGGAGGATGAGGAGAAGGAGGAGGAGGAGGAGAAGGGCAAAGGAGGAGGAGGAGGGGGAGGAGGAGCAAGATGTTCCCAACGGCCTGTGAGACGCGCTTCCGCGTTGGGGATGAGATCACGGCCGCGAGGCTCCGCAACATACGTAAAGAGCAGGGAGGAGGGCCCCGGACGCAGCGTTGCCAGTGACGCAGCGAGCATCCACTACGGCATCTCAGCAGCAGGTAGCTTCACGAACGTCTTTCAATGGGGGCCCACTGAGACGGACGAGCTGCCATACTTTCAGCGTCCCTGCGACCAGGAGGATGCGAACAACGAATCGAAATCTTTCTTCTCCTCTATCAACATGTCCTCCTCCTCCTTCTCCTCCTCCTCCTCCTCCTCGTCCTCCTCCTCCTCCTCCTCTTCGTCCTCCTCCTCCTCCTCCTCCGCCTCCGCCTCCTCCTCCTCCCCACATCTGCTCTTCGTCATCCCGCTCCCCCCGTTCCTCCCCTCCTCCTCCACTGTCCACACCCCAGCCTGCTGGTGGGGGGGGCACCGAAGGTTGAGAAAGCGCCTGGACGCGTGGGAGCGAGCTGCTGGCAATGGAGCCAGGCCGCACCGACGTCTCTGCTCCTGCGAGAGCCGTCGGCAGCCTGAAAAAGACCACATGGCCACAGCACGGCGAGACGACAGGTGGGGCGGGGCCGCTGCCACGTTTTGCCCTCGACCCTTGAGAGTCGAGACCCTCGACCCTCCAAGGTACACAGTGTAGATATGAGCCAACGGGCGCTGGCACTCACACTCGTTTCAGTGATACACCGAAGCAATGGTCGACACCATGTAGCACTCCAATCACATGGATTCAGCTCCACAGGCCCTGTCACATGTAGAACATCACAAGTCGATGGGGGGAGGCGATCTGATGTTTTTGGACATTGTCAGGCCTCCAGGGGCCTCACAAGGACTCCTACCTCGAGCTAAACAGTGTTTTTTCGTTTTCGGTTTGCTTTCGTGTTCCCTCCTTCTGTCTTCGTTCTAACTTTGCCGCGAAACGTAATCAAAACGAAAACGGGCCACGAAATCGCCAACACACCGTTTAGCTCGAGTCCTGTTGCAGGGGGCCAGCTCTGGGGCGGGAATGGAAGCTACCGGGGGTCGCAAACAGGCGCTGGTAGCCTGCGCGCCTGAGGCCCCCTTGCTGCAGAGCACGCGGACCCGATCACCTGAAGGACCTGGTCGCCGAATCCAGGCACGGCCTGGCCAGAGCAGTTTCCGTCACAACACACTGCACCTCCTGCTCTTCAGCACCCCCTCTTTCTCCCCCCTCCTCATCCCCTCGTGTCTTCACCCCGTCCCCCCCACCTCCCCCGTCCACTCGGCACCCCTTCCACTCATACTCCTGCTCAAATTCATCCTGCTTTTAATCATCCGGCTCCCCCTGCTTACCCTAATGCCACCTCGACCCCGCCCCACCGCTGCCAGATTGACAGCGCTGCGCACTGAGAGGCCCCCCCCAGATCCTGCATACATTTCTGAACACGTCGCACTGGAAGCCAGGAGGAGCTTCCTGCCCGATTCACCCCTGGACGTGAGCCATGGAGCGGAGCAGAAGAGGAGGCCACGTGGCCGTTGCAACACCACCACTCCTGGACTCGGACGTCTGATGCGAACAGCTGAACTGTCCTGTTTGGACGTGGCCGCCAAAGCACCCTCACGTCTGCCTTCAGGCGCATCGTGCATCCACTTGGGTGCTTGATTTGCTGACGCGGACCAAACAAGAACTTCTCCAGACCAGACCAGCGTAATAACTAACGATGCGAACCAGATCTAACACCCAGCGCGGAGGAGTTGTGCGACTTGGTCTCAATTCCGTTGGGGAACGGGACTCAAACATCCTCGAGCAAAGGAATATGTTGCATCGTCCACAGAGAGGAAGCATAACATACTGGAACAAAAAACACACCTGTGAGAAACATGAGAACCGTGATACTCTACTATTCGCTCCACTCCCAGACCAACCCCGTTGCGGTGTACACAGCCTTCTAATGGCAAACTAACGCAACGACTTACTGCATACGGCGGAGGCATTAAATACGGAAGCCTTGGATAAGGAATCCGGTGTCTGGAAGCCAGTGGAACTCCAATTGTGTATCAGCCAGGGGTATCGCCACCGACATCATCAGCTAGGGAATCCTCCAGGGTCTGAAGCCCCCTGGGCACAATCCTTGACCAATGCCCCCTCCGTATTCAACTCTGCGTACCGCGAGCCTTGCATGGCAGATTAGAGCAACGTCTTTTCCCCTCCTTCTTACCCGCGTCCTCCGCCTCCTCGTCCCCGTCTCCCTCCCACTCCTCCTCCTCCTCCCCCTACTTATCCTTGCCCTCCACCTCGAACAACAAGGCCTCGGCCTGTAAAGCCGTGTGCTTCGGGTGCAGGGGCACTGGCTGGAGGATGCGCAGAGGGGGCAGGGGGGACAGGGAAGGAGAATGTGGAGAAGGAGGATCGGGAACTCTGCGTCCCAGCACTCTTCCAGCAGTGTGCATCAGCATCGTGAGTGAGCATCGCGCGGCAGCAGTCAGCAGTGCACGCCCGTGCTTCTAGCAGGTCGGCGCTGCATGCTGGCGGTGCGTGTCAGCGCCGTGACGACACTGTGTGAACAACGTGTGCCGGCATCGGTCCCTGGACTGGGACGGCCACCAAGACTAAATCTGCCACGGTGCCTCTGCCACGAAATGGGATTCCTTCAAGCTCCCAATTTGGAAGCTGCCAGGGGGTTTGCGCTGGGTGGGTCCCGAAAACAACGGTCAAGAGGAGGGGACGAGGGCAAATCTGCTTGAAATCAGTCCCTGGATTCCTCCCAGGTCGAAACTATCAAGTTTTTCGACCCGCGTCGGGCCGTGGCGTTGAGGGGGCCCCGATTCTCCCACTTCTTCTGCTGGCCGGAACCAATGCTGGGCCACCTTAGCCCCCAGCCGACTCCAACTCCCAATAGTCTTCACTCAGCATTGGCTCTTGCGGATTGAATCTTATCATTCTCCTAAGGGTCCCGCCCGACCAGCTCACTAAACCTCCGGCCACTTCCCGGGCGTGGTGTTCCGCGCGAACTGATTCGAAGCCTCGGGACTGCCGATTTTCCCCGACGTCCAACATGCGCCAAGATGACTTCAGGGGGATCCTCTTGGGCTACTCTTGGGGTGCCGTGGGCTGTCTCGGAAGCTCGGGGTCTTTGGCCCGAAGGCCCCCAATCGCTGGAGCAGCATTGTGCTTGCATGGATGTGACAGTCCTGCGTTTTCGGTCATGAGAGCGATCAAACCTGCCGCAGAGGCGCCCAAACTTGATTTGCTCGTCGAATCGCCGAAGGAAGACGTAGTAATCCACGAACGATTTACTTGTTCCCTCTCTAGATGAGACGGAACATCAAGTTCTGGGCAAATCAATTCTGTAGTTGATCCCCTACTCGAAATATCGCCCCGAGCCCAGTGGCGCCCCGGATGCCCCCGAGAGGCCTCCAAGAAAGCTTCAAGCGGCGGCCCCCAGAACTCGGCGGCGCGCACAAGGGGATGGAGGGAGGGGGGAGGGCTTCTGAGAAGGAAGCTTCTTAGAAGGAAGCGGCCCTACATCTATAGACACGGCCCGCGCCTTCGAAGAAGCAGGGGGTGCTTCTGAGAAGCCCTCCCCCCTCCCCCCCCCCTTGTGCGTGGCCGAAGAACTCCTCCACGGTCTCTGGGGGTCCCTGCCATCAGCTGCGCGCAGAGAGTGACCCTGTGGTAATTAAGAGTGGCCTCTGGCGCGCGGCTTCTGTGGGGGGCCGCGGGGGAACCGAGCACAAGCGTGAAGTTGGGCCTGGCCCTCTATACGAGGAATGTTCAAACATGGTAAAAGACAGTCGTCTGGAAACGATTCTGTGGACGGTCTGTTTGACCAATTTGGGATCTGTTTTGACTATTTTTTGTTTTCGTCCGGAATCCGCCTGTAGGGGGACATGCCCGACCCAACACAAGCGCGCAAGACGCTACTATCGCATTGCGTCCGGCGATCGGGGGACCCCACTGGGCCCGCACCAGAGGTCACTCTGGCGACAGGCCACTCTCACGTGCCGTCGGCGTGGTCCCTGCACCCCCCCGAGATGCACGAACGAACCACAGCCGCAACAAAACACGTCCAGGAAATCCGGCTCTTGCCCGGACGGGCCGAAGACAGTCGCCAGGGTCTGGACCTCGGGAGCAAAGGACCCCCTCTCGCCCCGTCGTCCCCGCCGCACCGCGGCAACGCCGGCCCTGCCCGTCGGTCGTCCGCCGCCCTCGGCTCCGCGCCTCCCGCTGGGCCCGCCTCCACTCCAGGCGTCTTTGGAGCAGCCAGCCTGGCTGCCCCCGATACTCAGCACGCAAGAGGAGGAGGAGGAGGAGGAGGAGGAGGAGGAGGAGGAGGAGGAGGAGGAGGAGGAGGAGGGAGGAGGAGGAGGAGGAGGAGGAGGAGGAAGAGGGAGGAGAATGAGGAGGAGGAGGAGGAGGAGGAGGAGGAGTAGACTGAAAACGTGGGTCTGGCGCGCGACGTTCGCCCAAGCGCGGCCCAACCACGGGCGGGGCCGAGCCGACACGCAACACATTAACACGGACGCTCTGGGCACGGCACGTCTTGCATGTCAGATCGGGCGTATCGTGGCAGCTAAGGCAACCACCAGAAAACTGCACGCATGCATTTTCGGAGAATCCGGCGGGTTTTCGTGGATCGGTGCTGGATCCCCCTCCATGGCGCGCTGCGTGCGCCAGGGGTGGCGCTGGAGGTGCTGCCAGTTGGGGTCCAGCGCCGATCCAAGAAGTCCGCGCGGACCTCCGAAAATGCATCTTTGTGTACAGTCAACGCGCCTAGCAAGGATGAACGACTTTCCAAGGTTGCCTTTGCATCCGTTCCCGTCGGCCCATCTTTGGCCGCTTTCGCTAGCGGCGCCCCGCTCGCAACGTGTCGACATGGCTTACCAATGCCCTTGCTGACTACCTTTCAGAGCACCCCAACCCAACCCGAAGACCCGAATTTCGGGTTTTGCGGGGTACGGGATCCACAGGTTTTTTTCCAATGTTCCCCGACCCCCACTCCACTGGAAATGGAGGGCAACTTGAGGCCTTCGGGTTGGGTTGGGGTGGTTTGTAGAAGCTCCCTAGATGGGGTCCGAATACATGGGGTCCGAGAATCGCGCCGCATCGCCGATACATCGGCGATGCACTAGCGACGTCGGCGATGCATCGGCGACGTCGGCGTAGGGAAAATCGGGTTCCACGTCGAGCCGCATCGTCGATGATCGGCAACTCGGCGCGATCCTCCGACCCCATCTCCTCCGACCCCATCTGGGAGGCCTGGGTGAAAACGGAGGGCTAATTGAGGCCTTCGGGCTGGGTTGGGGTGGTCTGGTTGACTTGCATCCTTGCCGCGCATCCTTACTGACGGGTTGGCTGTACCGCCCTCTTCTTCGACTCCTGGCGGCTCTCTCGTCACTCTCGGCCTCCAAGGCCGTCTCCCCAAGCGCGCTTTGACCAGGATCTCGAGGCGCATCCGGCAGTGGCGACGAGGGCCTCCCAGGAGGCCCGACAAGGCAGAGGGGTAAAGCGAGGGCAGGGCAGCAGCATGGGTACAGTCAACAAGTAGAATAAGGATGCGCGATAAGGATGCAGGGCCCTTGGACGCCCATTTCGAAGCGTTTCGAGCGGGGCGCGACCAACGAAAGTGGCCAAGGATGGACCGAGGAGGCAAGGATGCAAGAGTTCCCTTGGGAAGGTTAACCATCCTTACTCTGCGGTTGACTGTAACTGCCTCTGCCTGCTTTCAGACATGGCCTGCCTGGGCCCCTGCACCCTCGCCGTGCCTCCTTGCTGGGCGGGTTGGCTCTGGCGTTGGGTCGGGCATGTCCTCCTACAGGCGGATCTCGACGGACAAATCTAAGGTAGGCAAAACAATACTCCAACACAGTCAAACAAGTAATCGAAACATCGTCCCCAGACTATTGTCTTACTGCTTTTGAATACTCCTCCTGTAGAGGGACACGCCCGACTTAACTCTAGCGCTCTCTTCTTCGACTCCTGGCGGCTCCTTCGTCCTTCTCGGCCTCCCAAGGGGGTCGTCTCCCGGCCCCGGCCCTGGCTGGCTGCGCGCACACAACAACGGCCACGGCCCCTGCAAGCAGGCAGCGGCGCCTGTGGCGTGTGGCTCTCGGTGGGCCGCGTGGAGGCCAAGCCCAAGCGCGCCAGCCAGGGCCGGGGGGGGGGGCCCTGTCCTTGCGGTCCTGGCGCTGCCATGCTCTCACTATAATGAGGCCGTTCTCGCTCATTTTTTGGGGCCTGGGGCCCTCACAGATCCATCAGGCTCGGAAGATGACGCAGGAAGATGGGGTCCGGGGCTCCGGGCGTGATGTTTTTTTTTGTTGCTTGATATTGCATTATTCTTGAAACGTCGGATCTCAGGGGTAGTGGAGGCCTCCCACAGGGGGTCCGCGTAGATGGGGCCGGTGGATCACGCCGCACCGCTAATGCATCGCCGACGCATCTGCGTTGCATCGGCGACGCCGTTGGGGTTGCAAGTGCGACGTCGGGGGGGGGGGAAATCGGGCCCCAAATCGAAGCGCATCGCCGAAGCATCGGCAATGCGGCGCTATCCTCCGACGGCACCCACACGAACCCCATGCAAGAGGCCTGGGTGCGGACCCGCACGCCGACCCCAGATGAACCGTCAAGGCACGGCCCTTGCTTACTTGTTTTTGCGTCGGTCCCCAGGCGTTGCGCTTCAGCTTCTGCCGGTCCCCAGGCGTTGCGCTTGGAATTCGCCCACTCTTGCCAACCGCCGTAGCCGGTTGGGCTCGAGGTGCTCGTGGCTCTCACCGCGCCCCAGGCCCACTGCAGCACCAGACCTGCGGTGACTGCAAGCAGTGCTTGCCGCGCGAGCGAAAAGCACAACACATCATCACGCTTTGCTCCCGAGTCATTCCACCACGAGATGGCTGGGGGGGTTGGCCACACGCAAGACGTGAGTTGTCCGTGCCCTCCCCCTCTCGGAAGAGGGGCAGGTGAGACAACGGCGGCACTCCCGCTCAGCCCAAGCCCATTCCAGATCGATTCCCGGAACCCTCCCCCCCAAAGTCCAGCCCGGCCCGTGCTCCGCCGAGCCGGATCCGGTCGTGGCGGCGAGAAGCCCCCAGGAGGCCCCAGAAAGGGCGGAAAACGCCAGGAGGAGCAGGAGGAGGAGGAGGATGA